TGTAGTTCCTGGATGACATACGAAACGATGAAATGTAAATTATATTATTCGCTATTGTATGGTTTGGCGCTTCTCACGATATATTGGACAGTGGCTAATGCAGTGTTTATATTAGAATGGAGATGGCTCAGGGGAGATATGGTTGTAACCTTTAAGATAATGAAAGGTTTATCTGGTATTAGACTGGAAACTCAATTCCTGGAAGCACTAGACTGCCGTGCAAGGGGACAACTTGAAGCTAGTCAAGGCCCGGTCTCGATTGATCACACTTCTTTAGCAACAGGATAGTCATCATTTTGAACAGACTATCTGTGGAGCTAGTAGGACTGCAGACTGCTAGCATCCAAGACGGCTCTGGACTAACGGCAGACTTAACTTTTTCTTGAAGTGGAGGTCTGACCATACATCTAGCGGCTTAAGAAAACCAGTAGTAGGAGCGGCACACTCAGGTTGCATGTCCCTTGTTTCTTTCTGTCATTTATTGGAGGGTAGCCAGGAAGATGAACGCTCACAAATAACAATCTCTCACCTTGGAGGTGGGATGATGTATCTTTCTCTTTTCAGGCAGAAAGTTACGGACTACTTTTTGTAGTGATGGGTGCCATACTTTACTGCCTAACACCGAAGGAATTCCGGACGCTCGATTGGCCGTGGCTATTTTCTGTCCTATGCAAACTAAACTGAACTGAACTGAACCGAAGCGCTCATCAGTCTAATTCAATTCAGTTTTCACAGGACGAGTGGTGGCTCTTGTCAATTGTGTGTTCGGTTCCTTGTGTTGTCGGCGGTTTTGTTGGTTTCCAACACTTCGAGTCAGTCGCTTTTTCTGAACAGCAGAGGGTTAGTGTGCAGTATCAGACGTTTTAAAATGTTCCCGAAAGTAAAGCCTAATAGTTAAACTTCGACATTCGGCTTCAGGAAATACTACTGCTCAGCGCTTATCTAGTTTAATCTTGAAAGATTTGACAACCATACAGTTAACTGCTTCAGGTAATGTATTCCACACTGGTAATAACCGTGTTTGTGAAGAATATAACTCGTAGAATGACTCCTTCCCAGTCTAAGGTGACGTCCCCCGTGCCTCAGGAAGGAATAAACGAGAAAAGGTCTTCGAAGTTTGAACCGGAAAGCCGTTTATCAAGTCGGGTCAGGTAGCAGGATTAGCGGTTGCTACCAAGCGGGCGTCCAGTTTCTTGAGCAATCGAGCTCCAGTGTTCTCGATGCGCTTCGACAGCTTTTGCAATTCCCACCTTCACTTAGCAGTATTTTCTTTAGTCCGATCCAGTAGGGACCAATTGAACGTTTATCTGGAAAGGACTGGTATGATCATGTAACGCGAAAAAAGACAGACTCGAGTCGCCTTTGCCTAATCTTGAGTACCCTCGCCCGTAATTGTGTGTCACATTTTTCATACCACCCGAAGTGCTTGTACCTACAGCCACGGATAAGTTGAATCATACACAAACGCACACATCCATACCCATACTTGCACACATGCATGCAGTCTTTTTCACATTAGTGAATACTGGTAAAAATCCCATAACGAGAACGACAGTACGATGCTGAGTACCTGGCGAACGCTTTGACTACTCATGGTTTCATAAAACAGGGTACGCGTAATCCAATCAAGTCTCGAAAGATCACTACCTAGAGTTCAAGTCTCTCATGCGGTGGGGTAGAGATTTGGTTTCTCAGTCTGGATCATTTGGAGGTTGGTTGAGGAGTATTCATGGGACNCCCTCATCACAACAACAGTCCAGTAGTCATTCATACTTGATCATCATTCGTCATAGAGTGAAAGGAGAGATGCAGGGAAAGTAATAGAGCAGGTGGATAAGTTTTGCTATCTGAAACTGAAATCTGGGCAACTGTATCTCACCTGGTGGACGCATCACAAATGAAGTGTCAGCTCGCATACCCAAGGCTCGATTGACATGTGCCAACTTGAGACATTTGTGGCCCCGTCGCGACATACGGCTGTCTGTTAAGGGTCGAGTGTGTACTGCAACAGTTCGACCAGTTCTGCTATAAGGCTCAGAAACTTAGCCACTACGAGAACAGGATAAAGATAGACTGTCGGTGTTCGAACACCGTTGTCTACGCATCATTGCGCGAATCT